TATTTGGAGAAGCAATATTAGCGAAGGTATAAGATGTACCATCAATATTGGGTATAGCATGAATTTAATTTCTCTCTCTGGATAAAATTTGAATATTTAACAAAAATTTAAACAAAGCTAGTCTGCTTTTTTATGTTTCTTTCCTTCATGTAATCTCAACAAAAGGTTTCAGTGTCTTAATGTCAGTATCTTTGTCAAATGACATACCACTGGACATAACTTATTATTTAGCTACATATGAGGGCATTGACTTTTGTTATCAAGCAGAATTTTGGTGTATTACAGGTCAGCCCTGTTACTTTTCTTTCACCTGTAACTAATCCAAAGGTAAAGTTATCTCACCAATTAAATTATATTCATTCATTAATTTTAATGCAATTCAAATATTTTCTAAATCACATAATACCTACCTTTTAAGTGGCCTGACCCCTTTGACACTGACAAATGTTGGCAACCACATGCAATGCATCTCAAGGAGTGACTATGTGGCAGGCTACTTAAATTAGTAAATATTTATAAGATCAAGTTGTTTAATAAATATACCATCTTGTTCAATGGATGGAAACTGGTGATTGGAATTAATATATAGTTCTTAAGATGTTTTTAGACTGTCTGCAAACCATTACTGGCATTTCACCTTCCCAACTCAAGGTTATACAAAAAATAAACAGAAAAGTTTGGCCAAAGGGTTTCCTTTAAGCTGGAAAATAATCAGAATGCCTTAGGCAATCATTTTGGCACAAAGTATTCTGTCACCTAAAAGAGTGCACAGAAAAATGCCCCTGATGGACTTTTTATAATTTTTGTATCCCTTTGTGACACACTGAGAGAGGTCCATGTTACATTAAAAGAAACGTAAAGATATATTCCAGAAACCCAATCAGTTAATGTATGAATCATTGATGTGAGTTTTAGAAATCTTCATAATATTTATTGGCTTTCTTGGATGGAAATAGAATGGCTCATCTTTTAACATGTTAAATATGTAAGTAAGACATACCAACTCACACAATAGTAATTTAGAGTAAGGTTTATTTTTAATTGTATATTCAAGTATATCATCCATTCCCTCAAACATTTTCTGGATGATAACAAGATCTAATATATATACATAAAATGTAGCTGTGGGTTTCTCTTTAAAAGTTCTTCCAAGTAATTATCATTGGAACAGTTTCAATTCAAAAAAGGACAAGCGAAGTACCAAAACATATGGTAAGTAGTAAAAGAGTTTATACACATACATGTACAAGAACTTCTCTTCATAAAAGAACACCAGTTTCTCCTACTTTGAAATGTTCAAAAATTAACAAGAGGCAGATGAGCTACAAAGACCAAATTATTGAGAGCAGTTGGTTATGTGATTTACTCTTCTTCAGCGGCAGCATCTTCTGCAGGTTCAGAATCTTTTGGCACTGACTCAGCAGGTGTATCAGCAGTGGGAGCCTGTTCACTGCCTGCATCCTCCCCAGCCACACTATCCTCCTCAGGTTTATCAGCTGTTTCTCTCCCATCACCTTCTACTCCAGCTTCCTGGTCACCCTGTTCTCCTGCCTCATCTGCCTTGGTCTCTTCTACTGCTGCTTTGCTTGCTTTGGCTGCAATTTCTTCTGCTATCTTTCTTTCTTCTGCTGCCCTGGCTGCTGCCTCTTGCTCTGCAGCCAACCTTGCTGCCTCCTCAAGCTTATGATAAACTTCAAAACGCTTTTGAACAACATCTCGAATGATTGCTAGAAAGTGAAAACAGGACAGTATAAGAATCAATTGATCCCTTTTTAAATTCTTTTATTTCTGTGTCTTGATAATAAACTTCCAAAAAAACCAGAGTATCTTTTATTTTGCTTTTCTAACATCTTAGTTGTTAAATCTTTCATTAGTCCTATATTTTAAATTCCAGTAACAAAATTGCTGATGATCTTCAGTCAACTTCTATTCATTCCCATAAGGCAAGTAAAAAATCTGATAAAATCAAATTTCCTCAATGGTGAGAGTTATTTGAAACAGTTTGACAGTGTTTTTGTCCAGGTAAAGTTAGAAACACTAGTCCCTTATTGTAAAGAAAGATCCGTCAGTGCTTACCATCAAGGACAGTTCTTGCAACAACACTTTGATTTAATTCACCCTCCACTTTCTCCAACAACCATGGCATAAAGTATGTTTCTACATCTGTAGAGAAAAAGTATTTCTTTACTGAAAATATCACTTGCTCCTCACCTCAGCAACCAAAGACAAATAAAAATGACATAAGAGGTAAACAAATTTTTTTGCACTTTACCTCTTTCCACTGGATCGTAGAAATATCCATTTTCATTTAGTGAACCAAACACAGACGGTACTAAATCGGCAAGGTAACTCTGTGTTAAAAAAAAAAAAAACACATTTTGTAATCAGATAAGAAATAACTTATCTTTCTAATCCAAAAGCACATTTCAGATCATATTTTGAAGCTGCATAACAATTCAAAGAAATTTATAACTACGCTAAGAACTGAACTGATGGGGCAAGTTCCACATACATTGAAGAGAGCAAACACCAAAATACTTAGGGGTTGCTGGTTGGGGTTCAGTTCTTGTTAAAAATAATGTTACATTTTAAAATAGTAAATTCAGGCATGAAAATTTTGTCCTGTTTTATCACAGATTTACTGACTACAAGTAACAAAAATTGTAAAGTTCCCAAATTTGACTCACCTGAGCGAAGGCACGTGCTGATATCTTTTCACCAGTTTCTTTTTCTTTTCTCAATACTTCTGCCTGTTGTTTCATTCTCCTTTCTTTCTCTTCTCTGTGCCGTCTTTCTTGTTCTTCTAATCTCTGCGTTTCAACAAGTTCAGCATTCCTGAGTTCCTTGAACCGCCTCTGTTGGGCTCGAAGATTTGAGAGTTCTTCCTCTTCCATCACCTCTAGAAGAGCCTGTTCAACTGTTTTACCAACAAGCACCTCGAGGATTGGTTTAACTTCAATGTCAAAGTCAAACAACTGCACAAAACAAAAAGCAATATTAAAAACTAAATTATACATTTACAACAAGAGAAAATAAACCATTGCAGATATTTCCCCAACCTTTAGCTTATTCTTAAAATTTTATAGTAGCCCATTAAGAAAGCATAATTTTTTTGGAAAAATAAAATCTTTATTGCAGTTTCACGATTCTACTTGCTCACTTCAATGCGAGAAATATTAACCTGAACCGCATAAAATTTGTATAAAGCATACTGTACATGTACATCACATGCACTAATTTATTGAAGCATAAATCATGATGGAAGCCATCATGTGTTTGTAAGGTAAATCAAACCCCTTAGACTATAATGTAACCAAAATAATAAAAACATACTTCTCCTTCTAAAATTTGAGTTGCAACATCCACACCACTTTTTGCAGGGATAAACAGAGGAGAAGGAGGTCTGTCAAGAAATGCATCAGTCTGTGTTTCCACATCAGCTTCTTCCACTCTATCACTCAACTCCTCCAAATAAAGCTCTGTTTGTACATCAATATGTTTCCTTCCTTCAACAGGCTCTGGTGATCTAGGTTTCAACTGTGCTTTGGCACGTTTTCTGGCTATAGCTCTCCGTCTTGCTTCTTGTTGTCTTTGAATTTCTATGGGATCTGGTTGTGCTGTCTGTAAATCACAAAATTCAAATACTACTTTGATTTTAAAATGTGACTCCCTACCATTCATGTTCCAACTGTGGTAATTGGGGAGGACTTTGTTTGTATCAGACACAATTTGACAGATGTTTGAAGAAATGACTTCAAGAGAAGCTTTTTTTGAGTTATATTGGTCTCATGAGTGTACAAATTGAATTTTGGGATTTGTATGATATCTAAAATATATTTAAACATCAGAGATTTTATCATTGCTAGTTTCAGCCCCCTCTCCCCCCCACTCAACCCTACTCATTTCCCTCTTGAGATTTATTCAGCCTCTAGCCAAGGGAGCAACTCAAAGACTCCTGCAAAAATTAATGATTCTCTGCGTACCAAAAACAACTTACCGCTGGTAGAGTCCTCTGAGCGTAAGTGTTACCCCTAACAATTCTCCGATCGTACATGATGTTTCCGTAAGGTGTTGGACTCTCATTTCTAAAAAGTGATTAATAAGTGAGTCTCGACTGCACCAATCAAGGTCAACGCTATTTCTAGAACTTCAATATACAAGTATTCACGCTAAATTAACGGGAAGATATAAAAATCACAATACGTCATGGCAAGTAAATATGCGTTTTAAATATTTCTCAGTACACGAGCAATACCAAATACTGCGTTTATTTAAGGAGTAATTTGCTTTGTTAGGGCTAAACCTTTAAAGAAAACGTTTAAGAAGCTATGCCAAGAATAGCTCTGTTTTCCTGTACATGATACACGCAAAGCTGCGATACGTATCGCTATCGCAAATATTTTTTTTTTGGTAAAAGACGTGTTAGATAAAAGCGAAGCCTAATATTAAATCGATTTTTCACAGATATCGATGTACGATTGACAGGATTGTTATTTATTATCTGTGTCTCGCGACAGAAATACTTAGTAAAAACTACAGGACGTAAAATACTTCAAAAGTTAAATGATTCGTCAGCACTTACTCTTGGGTTAGTGGATCCCGATATTTTTTTCGTTGTTGGACAGGTCGAGGTTGACTTGCAAATGTGTATGTTCTGGAGCCATCTCCTTTCTGAGCGACGACGGCCGTCATTTCGTAATATTTTGACCACTTGGTTAACGGTTTCAACTAACAGGAATAATTTGAAGCGGAAATATCTGTCGAAAGAATCTTACGATATTCAAACTCGATCAATAAATCTCTCGTCTCCAAAATCACCCAAACAACATGGCGTTGCCAATGATTCTGTTTGGAGGGAACGATACGTCATAGTTGCCATGACAATAATAAACGTGATAATCATAGAGTTGGGACATTTAAACAAGGTTTTGATTGGTTATATTTAGTTTGATAATAAACCAATTAGAATACAGATAAGATATGTTTGGTATATATCAATAATGGCGGACGCGATGAGGCCTTCTGGAAGCAATGAGCTTCATCATCCAGAAGTTCTTTCGCGAGAGCGACTCTTGCAAATTTTGTGCGATCGATCTATACCTCGTGAACATCTTTTATATTTAGAAAAAGGTGATCTTGTCCAGCTATTTTATAAGTATGTCACCCCACTACCCCAAAGGCTCCATCAACTTCGTCGAGCAAGAAGAAGGCAGCATGTGCCTTGTGGTGCACAAACCGTTACTTCCAATGATAAAACACCGAAAATAATTCGACTAACGAAGAGGTAAGAAGCTCTGTACCAAATAATTTGTTTTACAAATCAACTCTTATATTGATCAAATCTTTAGAAATATTTATCTCCCGGAAAGGAGTGTGTGTATGTTAGTGCATTTTTATTATTTTTTTTTATACGTGTATGTCACATGATCACCCGTACAGGTATGTAAGCGACCAAATTTAGAAAAATTACGAGGAGTCTAAGAAAATGAAAAGGAAATTTTCACCCAGGTAATTAATCAAGTTCCCAGTCAGTGAACTAGACATCGTGGAAGTTGAGTATTGAAAAGGTTTCAAGTTCTTATTTCGGGAAAGGGAATCAATGGGTAACCTTGACTGTTTCACAGTGATGAAAGGCCCATACTTCATTATGCATGCATACGTGTGGCTTTATTATTCAGTGTATCACCAATTAGATGTGCATGTGAATTAAGTATGGAGCTGTGCGGAAAGTTTTCCAATTAGCCAAATAGAATATTGATCCTCAATGTTCTTCAACATTATCATCAGATCAATGAAAAAACCTTTCCGTATGCTATAGAGATGTGTTAATCAACTTCTTCATATTTTTCTTAGTCCAGTCTATGTGGTAACCAAGTGAGTTGTTTTGTTTGTTTTTTTTAGAGACATTTTTAAGTTCAATGTCAAATTATAGTGTACAAATAAATTTTTGAAAAATCAATTTAGCTACCTATATGTGGTGAAATGAATTAACATCATTGTATTTTTAAATCAAAATTTAGAAAATCTCATGAAAAATTAAATACAAGACCCATCAAGATCTCAAGAACAGAGCTCAGTAGCAGCATCAAAATCAACAGAAGTCCAACTTCTTTTGAGTCAATAAGTGATGAAATGAACTCTGTATCCATTCATACAACATCTCCGACTATGGACTATATTTCTGATCATGGAGGAAAAGCACAAAATACATCAATCAAACCAAAGGTGGTAAAACTGAACAGAAAGACTTTAGGACTTCATGTTGACACATCATTTGAAAATCTCCAGTCAAAGGATGAGTCAAATTCAAGTTTAAATGGAAAACTGCAAAAGGTAACAGACTACAGGCCAGACACTGTGTAGTTTGTTTTATTGCAAGCTGCTATGGTTTCTTCTTCTCTAGGATATAAAAAGCTATAATGACTGCATTATTGATATTCACCTTTGTAACTCTTTTCCAAGAAATTTCTTGAGGATTTTTTTAAGCTCATTTCAAAGTGATGGGGTTTTTGTGGTAAGAGTTAATGCAAAATACAGTGCAATTTATTGTTAAACAATTTCTTCAATATTGTACTCTCTACATTTCATTATTGTGATTTGTTCAGTTGTGTACTTGGGTCTTTAGATGGCCCTATTGTGGGTCTGACATTGGGATCCAGCAAAATGTGCATGGGGGTTCCTAGAGGATTTCCACACCCTGGTCTGAATACGCTTGAATAGTACTGTAGTGACAACTTTCAGTATATGCTTACTTTTGTATTTAGTAGAACCTAAGTATGAAACTATTTAAGACTTCTGAGGTGATAGAAGGAAAACACTTTGATGACATCTGTAATGAGTAAACTCTCTTTTTGAGTGGATGAAAGTGTGCCATATATAAACTAAGATTTAATTTTGAAGCAGAATGTATTGATGTTTGTTTGATTTGTTGCTTTGCAGGAAGTTTCTGCCTCTTCAACATCTAGTGATTCTGGCTCAGATGTCAATGATAGTAAACCAGGAAATGCAAAAAGAAAATTTAAGAAAGTAGCAGTCACATGGCCTTAAACAATTTAAATTTAGGTGAAATAGTCCTTATCAGTGGACTTTGTAAATAATAGGTGTTAGTTTGATAAAATTTATCCATCCTAAGATTTGTGAAAGCTGTGTGATTACATGAAAAACAAAATGTAACTGTAATTCAATAAAAAAGAGTTATTAAATAGAGGTTGAATTATTTACCTTTATGCTAAAAGTTTTTGATCTTTTATTTATATAAATGTCACAGATATTTAAGATGTAATTACCATGCCATTTTGTTACAAAGGTATCGTTATTCTTTGTAAACTTGTGAATATTCTACAATTTGAGACAGCCAAGAATCATGAATAACACTGGTGCTTTCTTTTCAAAGCTTGAATTCTTAAAGCTTCCTCACAAGAAACCTGACAAACCAAGCCATGTTTTGTTCAATAAATAAAGGGGGTAAGACAATTTCTAACATCGTACTTCGGTCATAGTTATTGTAATACATCCTATTTCTTTTTAGGACTTGCTGTAGGGGTCATAATCTAAATGAAGGCCACCCTCTCCAGCTGACTAGCTCTGAATTTGTCCTATTGAAGATGTGCATGTGGAACCCCCAAATGTTACTTTTCAAATGCTTCATTGCAGCTTGAAAATGCATGTGATGGGTTTTTTTTTCCAATGAAAGAAATTAACATGGCCATTCCCTAGCGTACGCTTTTATTTAGAATTTTGCAACTGAGAATCTTCACAGAATTTTGTGGAGGACTGATGTAAACGTAGGCAGACCACACTATGCATTCATGGTTAATAATCATTATTGTTGACTTGAGACGAACAAAATGAATGAGGGTCATGAATAAAGCTCTGAAAATTGTAGATCTGAATTACACCTCATTCTGAATATCTCAATTAAAAGAAATTAACATGGCCATTCCCTAGCGTGCGCTTTTATTTAGAATTTCGCAACTGAGAATCTTCACGGAATTTTGTGGAGGACTGATGTAAACGTAGGCAGACCACACTATGCATTCATGGTTAATAATCATTATTGTTGACTTGAGACGAACAAAATGAATGAAGGTCATGAATAAAGCTCTGAAAATTGCAGATCTGAATTACACCGCATTCTGAATATCTCAATTAATCAAAATGTTAATGATTTCTTTGTGGTATTTTGTCCCCTTTATTGCCAAAAATAATTTTGTAAAAAAGATGCTTCAAACGACCCATGAAGGCGCAAAATTACCACGAACGCGTCGCTTAACATTTCATTTAACTTAATTGATATATTCAGACCAAGAGGTAATTTAGATATGCAATTTTCAGAGCTTTATTCATAACCTTAGATTTTGTTCGTCTCATGTCGACAATTATTAAACATTATAAAATGTTCAGAGAAATGCGCGCGTCGTGATTGGTCAGCACGAGTTCATCATATTTCCATAAAGCACGCGTCTTACGTCACACGAGTGCACTGTTGAAGAAATAAAAAAAAATACCGAGTGCATTGTTGATTTATATAAGCACGCGGGAATTTTAGGAATACGAGAGAAGTGCGGGCCGAAGGCGAGTGCTTCTTCGCACTTCTCGAGTGTTCTTAATTATTCCTAAGTGCTTATATAACTCAACAATGCTCGAGGAACAAGTTTTTTTATTTCTTTTATAAAATGTATCGTGAATTGCGCGCGCTCGTACCGATGACGTAGACTGCGTGCATTATATCTCAACAGTGCACTCGTGTGACGTAACGCGCGTGCTTTATGGAAATACAATGAACTCGTTCTGACCAATCACGGCGCGCGCATTTCTCTGAACATTTTATGAGATATGATACACGCAGCCTACATCATCAGTATGAGCGCGCGCAATTCATGATACATTTTATAAAAGAAATAAAAAAGCTTGTTCCTCAGGCATTATTGAGTTATACAAGCAATTGGGAATTTTTAAGAACACTTGAAAAGTGCGAGAAGCACTCACCTTTGACTCGTGCTTCTCCGCATTTCTTCTTAAAAATTCCTTCGCGCTTGTAGAACTCAACAATGCACTCGGCGCGTTTTTTATTTCTTTACGAACACATTGTGTGGTCTGCCTGTGGTATGACTGGGTACTTCATGACTAAGATGTAAATTATAATCTCAGAACAGATTGTGCAAAAATTAATCCTTATGGAATATGTTAAGTTTGATGGTCGAAGGTTGGAAAACGGAAATTCAGGGAAAACTTATTGCATTCTACGTAATTTTTTTTATATTTTGTTTTAGTTATTGTAGGCGCGGCGCCCTCTTGGAAAATATATTCCAGATTTGGACGGAAAATACTGGTGACCAAGATTATGCTTTGCGACCTGGCTCAACCCTTCTCATTCCGTTGGGCCTCCCCTGATATCTGGCTCGCATGTGTAGCTCGGTCTTTCTCTTAGCGGCTCCAACATGGGGTTTGAAAAGGTAAAAGCGTTGAACAAAATCAGGAAGTTCTCCCATAAGATCGCTTCTTGAATTGAATAAATAAGGAAATATGTAAAATATTATATTAATTCCTCTATTGAGTCATCTATTATTGTGATGTTACGTCTAGATACCCGATAATTACTCGCTACAAATGAGGATGTTGTATTCTGAGACAAACTTTGGCAAACGTGGGAAATTGTCTCAAATAATAACAAAGCCATTTTAACCGTAATTTGTTGGTACATATGTAAGAGGGCACTATTTTTCGATTGCAGTCAATTGTCATCGACGCTTCAGGCCATTTGTTAGGCCGGTTAGCATCCACGATCGCAAAGAGCCTTCTAACAGGTAAGTGGCATCCGTAACCACACTAAAGAATAGTTATTCTGTTATCTCGGTGATTATTTCACGAAATTACGTCTTGAAACAAGGCTAGATATAACTTCATGTTTCATCTGAGAGCCAATGAATGGCTTTGAGCATTATGAAAATCAATTGAAGTCAATTGAAACCCAGGGGGAATTTTTATTTATATGTATTATTATATCAAGACTTCTCTTTTGTAGGAGAAGTTAAATACCAGTGCACTTTCATAGACTGGAAGTTTAGCAAAAGTCAGTAATTCTGAGCATTAAAAAAATGAAGATTAAAGGGATGTTGAATTAGTTTCTTGTGGAGTGTTCCTAAATTTCTCCTGATACATTCTAAACTAGCGGTCTGCAGAGGTGTGCCTTTAATTTTTCTAGAATAGTTGTCTACTCTGGTTTTACCAGTTCCATTCAAAATTGTAAGCACACCAACATACTTCCAACAAATCTTAAAAACTAATTCTGCACACTTTTGTGAGCATACTCCCAAAAGTTCTGATATATTCATATTTGATAACTGTCGTCAACTGATAGCCTTCTTACAAAACTAGAACACTGAGTCATTCCAAGCTGTCAGCTTCAATTTTCTGTTGGAGTCATTTTCATTGTGTAATGACTCAGGTATGAATCATCTTTCATTGAGAGTTCCTAGAAAGTAATTAAACCTACGTCTTTTTGTACAGGGCAAAGAATAGTTGTTGTACGATGTGAACAAGTCAACATCAGTGGCAGCTTCTACAGGAACAAGTGTAAGTTGTATTTGTAAGGCAATTACTTCTGAGTGCTGTTTTCAAACCAGTGTCTTTTCTCCTAGTTACCTCACGGCAATAGATTATTGAAGAGTAATTTACTTCAGGACCTGGTAATACCCTGTTAGTATCCAGGTCTATTTCTTAGGACTGAGTGCACAGCATAAGAAAATGTTACATCACAAGTTATTGTTAGTTGCTTTGAATAAAATTTCATTTAAATTGAAACTTTTGCATGAAAAGTTGTGGTACTCAAGAAAATTTGTTGTCAAATTATCTGAATATACTACTTTGACATTGTCGGGTGAATGATTGACATTGTGTTCTGTTGTTTATTTCAGTGAAGTATCTTGATTTCCTTCGTAAGCGAACTAACACCAAACCTAGCAGGGGACCTTTTCATTTCCGTGCTCCAAGCAGAATTGTCTGGAGAACAGTGAGAGGTTAGTATACATATTTGGTCCCTAAGACTACCTTAAAACTCACTCCTGTTTTATCCATGGATTGATAATTTGTTGTTGTGCTTTAGAGAGTTCTTCATGGTAACAGTACAAAATTGCATTATCAAATACTAGAGTTGAGCTGATGTCTTGTATTTGTCTAGGAATGATCCCACACAAGAGTAAGAGAGGAACAGAGGCAATGAATCGTCTTAAAGTATATGATGGTGTGCCTACTCCATATGACAAGGTAAGTAATGTTGTTCATACTGTTTTACAACAGTTTTCAATATGCAGATGAATTATCTACTCTAAGCTTTTTAAAATAAGGTTATTGTCATAGCTATTGTTGCTGTGACAAATGGCTAAGTTGATGGAGAAAGGAGAATTTAAAGTAGTTTGATTTTTGTGGACGAATTTTGAAATCAAACATCTTTTTACCAAGGCAATTTTTTGCCATTTTGTAACAATTACACATGGTCAGATTCTCAGGTGATCTGATTTCATTTAGGCATTCTTTTTTGTTTTTCTACTGTAATCATTTCGTAGGAAAAGCGAATGGTGGTTCCTTCAGCTCTGAGAGTTGTCCGTCTCAAGCCAGGAAGGAAGGTAAGATACTTTGGTGCACTGCAAGTGAGTTGTTACACATCAAGAATAGGTTAGGAGAAAGGTAGAGAAATTCGTCAAGGTCAGGGGAAGTTAGTGAACTTTAATTGAAGTCTGGGAAAATGTTAACATGATTGAACCTGTATAAAGGGGCACTGTATTAAGCAGTACTGTAATGTTTATGCAAGTGTAGTGTGGTAGGTAAAGGTCTAATTGTTTTTGGCTAGTTTTTCAGTACTTTTTGATTAGGTTTAAGTGATTTATTTTAGTTTTTCATTCACACTTTAGTACTGTGTGCTTGGTAGACTGTCCCATGAGGTTGGCTGGAAGTACAAGGTTTGTTGCCCTCTTGACATGTTTTAGTATAAACCATTTAAATTCTTTTACTCCTTACATGAACCTTGAGTTACATACTTCAACAAATTCTGAGTGTGGAGTTGACTTACACATCCAAACCTGTTCATGGCAAACAATGCAATCAGTTCTACTCAAACAGGGAAATTGTTTCTATACACATTTCTTTGATGGTATTTTAGTAATTCTATGATGTTTGTGTAGGTAAATAACATGATTTGGGGTGCAATTTAGTGTTAATTAGCTTGAGTAAATTTTTCAAAGTCAACAGAACTGCATGAACCTGTAGGGTGAGTGCAGTTTGTAGTCTGAAAAATTGGCAAGTGCTTATTTACCCCAAATTGTACAAGACATCATGTTATCACCTATTAATAATTTACATGGAAGAAGCATAACAGAAACAAAAACCAAACAAAATTTTGACAGTGCGCACACTATTTGTAATTTGCTCTTGTGTCACATGAAATATACACTTGTTTTCAGCCAATCATAAATGCACAGTGGCTTTTGTTGAGAGCACTGACTCTTACAGTGCAACAACAGCAACTGGGGCCATCCAATGTTTTAGGGGCAGAATGTTTGTTGAGGCACGAAGAAACAAATTATTTGTATTAATTCAGTATATCTGTGTTCTCAGGATGTCCTGGAAACCCTTGAAGAAAAACGTAAAGCTAAAGCTGCTGTTTACTATGAACACAAGAAGAAAGTTGAGGTAAGATGCAGAATAAGGAATCAACCAAATCTATTTATCAACTAATATAGAACTTTTGCCTTCAGTGGTGAGGAATCACTATTCCTCCTAACAATGTCAATTAATCGTAGACAAGAAAGACTGAGGTATTGTTTTGAAAGTCAAATTCTCAGAACTAACATTGTAAGAAATGCTTGGGTGATATTGAGGAGAATTAGTCCAAGATCTTGGTTGGTAACAAGTTGAGTCAAGTTCTGTTTATCTTGTCCCCATTTTACTATCATTCATCACTCCACCAACAGTTTGACTCAGTTGATGATGAAGATGATGGTTGCGTGTTTCTGGCAAGCCTACACCAAAGAGTAGTATTCAGTCCATAACACTTTTCCTTTCCTTTTCTTTCAGAAACTGAAACAGAAGGCCTTGCAGAACAAGGCTGAGGAGCTGAAATCTTTAAATGAAGTGCTGGAAAACTATGGTCACTAATGTGACCATCTTGAGACAGCAGAAATAAAAATTCAACGTTCTTACAGTGTTCATGTTATTTTGATGGCTGAGATTTAGATTGCTCGAGAAAACAACCAACTTCCCTTTCCAGCGTTTGGTATTAATTTTTTTATCACCCTGGGCTGGGTTGCTCTAAGCTGCGTTAGTGTGGAATCTGATTTTAGATCTGAAGGCTTGAACAATAAATTCAGTATTGTTCTCTATGTGTAAGATTTGATTACTTGGTGCTCTAAAAAGAAGAGAGAAAAGTATTCCAAAAAGGCTTTTGCCCAAAGGAATAAAGAATTCTGGATTACAATTTAACCTTTGGTTAGCACTAGTTGACCTTTGAATCGCTGGGCGTTGGAGACTGATGTCATTCTACTGGTGCTAAATAGGGAGACCTTAATATTCAACCTCTGTAGAAGCTCCAGTCTCGGATTAATTGCCACGTGAAAAATTCAGGAGCATAAGGGAAAAAGTTACGGAAGGTCATGGATTACCTTGGGCGTTTTGTCATCCCAGAATGACTCAAGGTTAAGTCTGTTTCCTACTTGGGTCATCATTAGCGCTCCGCACGAGCGTGTCTTCAAAATATGAAACCCGGAGATTAAACCCTGAGCAACGCCAACTAGCGGGGGTTTGCGAGGGGCTAAGCCTCTGCTGACTTGTTTCAGGTCTCCCTGCGGGCTGAGACGCGTGTCCTGCCGCCCTCATAATGAGAGCATGCTCAGAAGCTACTTTCTACTTAGATTCCTGAATGTATGGGTACCATAAGTCGTCCATATTAACTGACTTACCACTTTTTGAGTGCTCCTGTTCCCACTCTCGCGTTGAATTTTTGATGTGCTTCAGTGAAAATCTAAATATCTCAACCCGACTAAATATGTGTCGTAAACTCGGTATAGTACTTCCACTGATGACAGATCAAAACTGAGAAATTTGAAGGTTTCGCGTATCTTGAACCAACTTTCATGAGCTGATGTCCGTTTCATAGCTTTACGAGTGAGAAAATAATTGTGAAAGAATAACCAAATTATCGGACCTCACCCGGCTTTAGCATTTTTGATACGGAACAGCGCAAAAAAGCAGGAGATCAATGGAGAGAAAATGACCCAATTTGGCTTGTTTGTATGCTGTCATTGCAAAAAATCGCTGCCCTCTTTGTGTGGGAATCTCGTGCGCCACCTGCTGGTGCACAACTGTTTAGTGCAGAAGAAATGACGTATCAATGGAGAGTAAGGTACGTCACAATCTAATCAACTAGGCGCGAGTCGATTGTGCGCGAGATATCGAGACAGCTCTTGCGCGCCCGCGGTTTCGGATCCCGCGGCTTCTGATACATTTGTTGCGTCACTGAGAAAGACTATTACGGGGTATACATAGACATTATCGGAGTCTTGCATAACTGATAAAAGATGGCACTCTTCACCCAGGGTCTGAAAAACGTAGCAAGGACAGGATTAGGTAAACAGGTTGGAGCTGCTGCTGCAGCCTATCACAAGAATGTAAGTTGCGTCCTTTATCTTGCCTTTGGACGCTAGATGCGGTGTGAAAAATGAGTTTAGCAAGCTGTTTATAGTTCACATGCTAATCGGACGTGACCATGAAATGTCGACATTGCTCAGGTTCCCACAGCTTTTCCCTTACCAGGCTGTGATTAGATTTGTATTTGGTCAATCTTGTTGTTGTTAACGGAATTAAAAGGCTGCTAGTTTAAGATGTTCTATTGTTACGACTGAGAAAATTGTCGAGTGCTGCGTGAGTTCTGAAGGTGCCAACATCAAATTGTTTTGCTTGTTTTGTTAGTCACGTTTTTGCTCACGTGTGATCAAGTACGTCTTTAAATGACTCAACATCATTTTTCTTGAACTTTTCAAGAAAATTCTCCCTACTGACTGTAACTTTTACAGTTTCCTTTAAGTATAATGTGTTGTTGATGGGATTTTTTATTATTTTCATGGAGTTATACATTTAAGTGCCAGCGTAGATAAATTTTATTGGACGTTTTAGTGTACAGTATCGCTGAGCTGTGCTGTATAAACACTGAGTACACAAAAATACTCAATGACACTACACTTCAAAACGTCTTATTAGTTATTTAATTTATGCAACAGGGCCCAGTTGTGCAAAGGCCGATGAGCACTTACCCAGGGTTAAGATGTACCTTGTAGGCAGCTCTGGCTCATAGACTTTTGACATGTTTTCCTTCTGCATGTTCACTAGGTAATTGACCATTATGAAAACCCAAGGAATGTTGGATCCATGGATAAGGATGATGCCAATGTTGGCACTGGACTTGTTGGAGCTCCAGCTTGTGGGGATGTCATGAAACTTCAGGTTGGTCATTGATTTTTGTAAGTTCAAACAAACATACATTCTCAGACACACACTGAGCAACTGTTTGTAATCCAAAATTATCTAGGGAACACAATGATACTTTCCTTGTTCAGAAGATAGATAAGAGATGTATAAGAGATATCTAAGCTCAAGTCAGGAGTGGATCATTATGAATGAAAATAATGTTGTAAAATGTATTGTTGAGCCAAAGAATGCAGTAACACATGTTGCAAATGAGGTTGATGGCTTTCAGCATGATGGCTTATGTTTTTCTTTTCTGGTTGCAGACAGTGAAATTGTGTTTCATAATTGACATTTTTACAGGCCCTCACAATTGTGTAATTTGCTTCTAATGAAACCATAAATGAGAAACCTTGTGATCATTTCATAGGGAATATATTAGTATTTGCATTGTAAATCTTAACAAAGAGCTGATTTCTTCAGATCAGGGTGGATGAAAATGGTAAAATTGTGGATGCCAAGTTCAAGACATTTGGATGTGGTTCAGCCATTGCTTCAAGTTCCCTTGCCACTGAATGGGTGAAAGGAAAAATGGTAAGGGAACCCATTTCTATCTAATAAAATGAACTAAGTGAACTGTGGCATTTGTCTAGAAGGTTATAAACCTATGACAAATAGGCCCAAATTTTATTTTGTTTTTCCATCATTCTTTTTATCTTTTCAAGCGGTATCCTCAGTCTGTTAGAGATATTTGATGTTCTTGTGTTCTAGATAACTGATGCTAAAGATATCAAGAACACAGAGATTGCAAAGGAGCTGTCTCTTCCACCTGTGAAACTTCACTGTTCAAGTAAGTTTGTGCTGCTGCTTTAAACCCTTCATGTAAGCACCATCCAGCCAACAAAAGTTTGTTACAAAAGATTCTACGATGACTTGCTTACCCTGATGTATTAAAGCTACCCTACATTTTCATGGAAGGTCTTTTACAAAGAAAATTTCTGATCATAATTTCTATAATAAGATTGAATCAGATGTAGTTATTCTTCAAGGACTTGTGCAGGTTCAATAATGGACAAAAATTCCTTTTTTCAGTGCTTGCAGAGGATGCTATCAAGGCTGCATTGAATGATTACAAAATAAAACAAGAATCACTCACAAGGAATCAGAAACAGTAAATATTGGGGAAAGCACTTTAATTCACTTAACATAATACAGGATGATCAACTGGCCATGATATCTACCAGGAATTATTGTTTAAAACCATAAGAGTTCTCTCTCAGAGTTTCTTGAATGCAAGACATCACAAATGGACAAAATAAACATTGCTGTTAGTCTTGTATGCGCATCACACTTTTGACATCATGATTGATTTGGGAGGGACATGTAATGACTATTCTGTAAGTAGTAACATTGAGCTGCAGTTAACAATTGGTTCATACATCAGCGTGTGTTCATTAAGATATGAAGCACACAGGATGTTTGGAGAGCATGAAAGATGTGTAAGAGTTGCTTGAGGCGTACCCAAAGCAACTCTAGCTTCTTGAGTGCTCTCCAAACTTCCCAAGTGCTTCATATCTCGATGAACGCATAGCTGATGCATGAACCAATTGTTTTATAACATTTTCAACCCCATGGAAAATTTTTTTGCTTGAGGGATTTGTTTGCTGACGTCATGAGCGTGCACAATAGGAATATGAAGCACACTTGTGCAATTGAATTTGATTAGACAAATTTACTAGCTATGTTATAAAATTAGTTGAAGTATACAGCCCTGTGTCATGTTAATTGTTTGAATATATTCTCTGTTAATCTTACCTGTAATTTTGGATGTGATGCAAAGTAAAAGTCACTAGAATGCTCAATAATGGCAACTTTGACTTTGCTTTTACCTGTGTTAGTATTGTTAGCAGCCAGAAATAGTGTTTAAAGAGATTGATGAAAATTGTGTTAACCTTCAAGGCATTGGTGATACAGATGCTATGAGAGCTAAATATTCAGTGTACAGAGATTTCATTTCAAGTTTTCATTGTTATGGAGCATCAGCAGCTATCAACAAACCCTCTTGAAGAGAGAGCCCCTGTGATAATATTTCTTCTTTATTATTGATGATAAAAGAAGAATCAATATATTCCATGATGCTTCAATCCAAACTATATTATCAACTTGAAGGTTGTTACATTGTGAACACACACTTCAGTTTGTTGCCTCTCTATTTTTGTCTTCTACCAGTTTGTGTTTAAATAGAAAGAGTGAAACTCTCCGTTAAAAAAAAAACAAATAAACAAATAAACTCACAAACCCATTCAGTAACAACAGAGCAACATAACCTCTACAATGTTATGAGCCCCTGGTCAAAAATAGTAGACTTCATACTGTCTTTATAAGATGCTCTCTGTATCAAAGTCATTACGCAAACTTTGCTTACTTCCCATGCTAACTGTTGTTAAACTTGTAACCTGATCAATGGGTTTTGATTTTGACTCCATAGAGGAGTGTTGCAGAAGAACAATTTGTTAAGATACAACTAGCTTTTGAAAAGGACTTTTTCTTTCTAAATAACTTTTCTCATAGTCTTTCTCCTATGATGCGCTCTAGAGGGCATCTGTTGTTTTGCTATTGAGAGTGGAAAAAAAAAAAAGCTATTGTCAAAGCAGTTTTCCTTGGCAACCTGAGCAGTGAGGGGATTTTTAAAGGTAAGATGAATTGCAGAATTGAAGAAGTGCTTTGTAACCATCAATGCGACACTATCCACAAGGTTGTGTTTGTACATCAGTATGGTTGAGCCATATGGTAATATTTAAGCATGATGATTTAATTTTCTTTTGCTCTTTTGATACTTATATCTTGAGTTAAGCACCAGGAATTTTAGGTCACCGGGCAAAGCCTAACAGCCCCACTTCCACCAGTTTTTGTAACTTTACCCTCATTTCTGGAGTGGCTCTGTTAACTTCTCTGTAGAAAGAAAAGTGAGATTAACATTATAAATACAAAGAACAGTTCACAATCATGACCCATCAGCTTGGAGGTGAAATATGACCTGTATCAATTGCAAACGTTTTCCACTAGATATGTCCCTGGAGATTATCTACTAGAAGAGAAATACTTCACACAATTTAACTGCAATCAAGAAATTACCACCACCCTCTTAATCTATGAGTTAATGTGTGAGTTTTTAAAGTAACTATAATTACTGCGTACTATGGGTATACTGAATTCTGATTAGATTGTAGCTCTTGGGGAATAAGTGGAGGGGGGGGGGGGGAGGGCAGTCTCAAACAAACTGAGAAGGAAGTCTGTACAAAGATTTAACCCCTGGCATGACACGGACTCTAGTTGTCACCTAATATACTAGAGTGGAACCAAGTCATTCAAAATTCCCAAGGGTTCAAACAGCCTGGTTTAAAGGATAAACAGATGATCAGATGAAATGAAGTCCATGGTTTTGTTGTGACCAGCTTACCAGGTCTCTGAACTTTCATTTATGAGATCCTTTTCAATAAGACCAAAAAAGGTAATTTGTTCTCCTGGGCAAAAGAATCAGCATCTCGGCATTTTTGTTCACCCCCATGGGATCTGTTTCACTTGAAAGATCTTACTGAACCATAAACAATTGGTCAATTCTTGTAACACAACTCACAATTGTGCTGCCTCAGGGTTGGATTTCATCATGGTTAATAATCTCTGTATTTGATGATCTTGAAGCACTTTCATCACTTCTGGGTCTGATAAAATATCTCGCATTTTAGCCTCATCCTCTTGGGAGGGAGGTACAGCCATCTGTTGTCTTGTACTTGATCTCTCTGTCAGGCCAATATCACTTCCTTGTGTCTTGGAAGCATTGGCTGATGTCTTTGGTAAAAAATTTTAAAACACAGTATACAGCTGTGCAAAACAAAGTAGCAAACAAGGAAAATTTTACCTCGCACTAACCATGCAAACATGTCACCACATGACAAAAAGTGCAAACAAAAAATGTGATAATGGTAGGGTTGAAAATTATATTCATTTTCCTTGACTTATAGACAAGTTCAAAGGAAAAAAATCTACATAGAGCCCATGGCTACTAATTCTTTAAAATCCATTTGGTTTGAATGCATCAAGGGAAGCATGGGTAAATATCAGAAAGAGTAAACCAATCATCAGTGTGTTGGATCCTGTGTGGAAACATTCAGGTCTGAGTCCTTGCTGAGATCATGATTGTTGTCCTTTGTTGATCTTTAGACTCATTAGAGTGACTAATATCTAATTTCTCCTTACATTATCATCTCTGAAACAAACATTAAGGTCATGAGAATAAAGAAGACGATAACCAACTAAAAAGGCTCTTGTTTGTTGAACAAATTCTCCTTATCAGCACTTAGGGAAATGCATAGAAAACAGCGTGGAATATAAGTATGTTAGGGTGTGTGAAAAGGTTTAAAGGACCAGGGACCTTGGTTCCTGGTACTGGTGTTCTATAACAGTTCAACAAATCACAAGGGAGGAGGTAACCTACCAAAAACTAAATTCCTCCTCACTGGAAGCAGCAACAGATAACACTGAGAAGAGGGAGGGGACAAGGAAGAGATCTAGTATAATTTGTAACAGGTAAAAGAGCAAGACCTCTGACAAGCGTAGCAGTTAAAAAGGTCATAACAAGGAAATCATGTCTCATTTGTGCTACCAAATTTATTCTGTCCTAGTAATTGGAATTGTTTTTTCTCTTTTGAATGTAATAAGGGGAAAGGAAACTTTAGAAACAATCTACCTGGGCAAGACACTCACCCCTTGAGCCATGGAATCTCCAAGAGTAGTGAAGTACTCTCCCATCAATCCACTAAACTCCTGCATAACTTTCTGCATTTCTGGGTCCTTTCCAATCATGGACAATGCTTTCAAAGGATCTGTGCCCACTTGTTCCAGAATTTCTCTAAACTTAGGATCTGTCAGCTTGTTGGCCAGAGCAGGATTGCGCTCAACTTTTTTCAAAAGATCCTCTGTAATCCAGTCTAGAGTTGACAAAAACAATTACTTATTTTAATTTAATGAAGAGAACATTGATTTTATAAACTTACTTCACTAATACAACCTCAGTACAATTTGTATGGTGCAGAAGTGATCTTGGCAGTAACAGAAAGGGAATGTTTTGTATTTGTTACTCAGTCATTAATATCTATAATCTTTCAAGATTTTCTTGCCTTTTTTAAAACACAGCCCATTCTTCCTCTTGCTGTTGTTTCAGAAAATATCCATGTCTGTACCCTTCTCACAGAGGCATCTTTCTATTGAGCCCCCTGTCCCATGAACCAAAAAATATATGTGCTTGGATATTTTCATTAACAGGGAAGAAGAGGTTTCGCTCAATTTTTATCATAAATGGATGCTGATTGTGGAATAGACAGCTGTAACCAAGACAGGGTATACCAAGAAATAAGCCAAGATTATTGGTTGAAATTATTAGCAGGCATCTGAAGTCTATTAACCCTTAATAGCCTAGCATCAGTGTGAATATTCTTCATACCGTTCCTATGGTGTTAACAGGGAGAATTTGTTTTAACAGTCAAGAGCTTCTTTAGTAGGTGATCATTTTCTTTATTCCCATGACCTACATGTATGATTCAAGGATGATATTGTGAGGAGAAATTGTATGGTAGTCACCCTTGATAACTAACTGACCAGACCTTTGCCTTCCAAGCTTGGTTTGCCACTAGATTTCATTGCCTCTTGAACTTCTGGAATTTCCATCCCCTTTTGCTCTGGATTTCTGGCTTTGATGACTGGAATATCAGTGTCTTTTTTCAAAGGTTTAAATGAAGCGTTGGAGGTTTCCTTTTTAGGTTTTGAATTCATCAAAAAGCCTTTCTTGAATCCACCAAATGTCTTCTCATTTTGAGCAGACTTGAGACCCTATCACAAGCAACACAAGTTATAGTCATCCACAGTTAATTGTTTAAAAATATTGTTTACAATTTAATATCACTCTTCCCTGTACACAGTTCAGCAAGCAAAACTATGGAGCTATAAAAGGGCCAAAACATAAATTAAACCCCTTATCACCAAGGCACACATTAACCTTTTCACTCCTAAGATCTCGTCATTAATTCTTCTTACTGTCTCTCATAAAGTTCTGATGGTGTCAGTTTGGGGGATTTCTTATTGGATCAACTGATAATCCCCCAATTGATATCTTTCTTTATTCTTGTCAATTGGTGTTTGATATTGTATTGATGTTGTAAACAGAAATCTTTCTTGGTCACTCATGGAAATTGAAGGGTTAAATAAAATCTTCTAAAAGACTACCTGAGCAGAAGATACTGTCTTCTTCTTTGGCTGTGTGTTTGCAGTTACCGATTGATCACACGAAGGTTTAGCTGTCACATTTTCTCGTAAATTGTTGACTTGATTGATCAGTTCTGACATGTCTTCCAGTGGAGGGACATCTGAGGGTAAAATTTTGACGAAAGTCACAGAGCAGTATTCAAAATAGTTTCCACAAATTGATACTATCATAAGTATTTGACCTTGTGTTTCTCCGACAAAAATTTTAGACGACCAAACGAATAAATAATTTTTGTAGTTCCAATCTCTTAAATCAATGTAACGCACCTTTCAAGAATCCTATACAGCTTTCCTGTTACTTATTATTATTATTATTATTCATTTAATAATTATTCTAATTGTTTAATTAGTAACAGGAAAGCTGGACAGCTTTCCTGTTATTTATGAATAATTACGAACTTGGCGAATTTTTAAGTCGGGAATCTTACAAAAATTAATTAACATGATTGATACTAAATTTTCTGAAACGTTTACTGATCAGTACAGTGAGCTAACAGATTACCATTGTCGTCGTCAAGATCACAACTCGCTGAAGAACCTTCCGCCATATTCAACAAACCCTGTTCGCGATGGAGTCTTCAAACCTGAGAGAAAGGTATCGACACATTTGTTGCCAGGCATCATCAAATTGGCCGCGGGAACCTAGATACGACTACAAAGCCAAGCACAGGCGCGGGATTATTGCGCTTTGCGCAGTCAGCCTCGGTAGAGGGCGCGATGATATAATTTGGCGATAATCAATATCATGTCCATCAAGCACGCATAGAGTAATTGATTGATCGAATTTTCCACTTTTCGATTTTGTTGTTGAGGATAACCGGATTTATTTATATCTAAACAATAGCCTTCATTTGGTGCGAAAATATGCATGGATATTTGTCCGCGGACGTTAATATATCTGTCCCGAGCTTCGAGGAACAGATAATGTCACTAAATGTCACTAGACCGTCATTACACATTATTGACCGTCACCAGATTTCTTTAATCATCACTATACACCTCACATCAGTTTTCGTCATTAATTTTGATTTACTGTCGTTAGACAATATTTACCGTCACAACATATCATTTATGGCCACCAGATATCATTTTATGTCGCTAGACATCATATCCCTACCCATCATTCACCCTCACACACAACTGCCATCGTTACGCGTCATTTGCCGTCATTAGATGTCATTTGCCGTCACTGCGAATCGATTACCAATCCTCAACATCGTTTACTGTTGTAAATAGAATATGAAAGATGGTAAGTTTTAAGCTCGGTAAAAAAAAAAAGAAAGATTTTTTTGTGAAGCGGCGAGGTAAATATCTACCATTAGCCATCAATAGTGAGGTGAATATTTGTTTTAGTATATACTAAAACAGTGAGCCAAAAAAGTACTAAAAGATGACTTCAACTCATTTGTTCCTGCAACGATTGGAATATTTTCTAACGCAAGTCCCGCGCGTGTTGCTCGGAAGTGAATAGCAAAGGATATTGGGAGTTTTAGTAGCCAATCAGGGCGCGTCTTCGACACAAACCTTCTGTTTTAGTACATACTTACCAACACGGTATCAACGAACGCTTTTCATGCAACTTATTTACTTTTGTTTTCTCGTTGCCATGTTCCCACCAATAGTGTAGCTCCATTTTCTGCATATAAACATACACACAACCCACAATCCCTCTATTTGCTTTGACGAAGGGCTAACGCTCGAAACGTCAGCTTTGAAACTCTTAACAGTGACCAATTTACATTATCAACAAAACACAGTTGATAATACCAAATTACCTTGCCATGGGATTTTCGGAGTTTGAGTAGCCAATCAGCGTGCGCCTTCAACACTATCCACTGTTTAAGCATATATACTGACAAAGGGTATTCGGAGTTTAAGTGGCCAATCAGAGCGGCCTTCAGCACTATCCATAGTTTAGTTTAATTCTAATTGTTTTTATTCCCTGACGTGCGAAACTCCGGTGAATTAAGGTTTTCAAATCGTTTTTTAACCAGGTTCTTTTTTTTAATTAGTGCATAAAACAGAAAAACGATAAACACACATTGAAAGATCTTCATCATATTAGGATGGTGTTTTCCGTTGTTTCACAAATAAAGCGAGCGAAAGGCTGCGAAGACCAAGAAAACATCCAAAACTTTTTCGCTTTAAACTTTTAAGGCTCTTTCAAAATGGATTGTGTTATCCAACATCACGATTTGACTATCACGCACCGGATCTCTACCTTGCGTAGCTGTTCGTATTTTCCAACCTCAAAATTCTATCTTTCTATTACTTTTCTGGTGGGATTCTTCCAATTACCTTCTTTATACCCAGGGCAAGTCAATTTACTTTTATGCAACCGAGAAAATGCTGCCAGTAATCACTTGCTTACACAAAGGTAAGCATCAACTCAGCATAATTCCTGCACCATGCTGATTTTTAATGATAAAAATCTTCGAGACTAACGGCTCTAAAGAAACAGTGTAAGTCCATGTCCTTTAAATGTGGGCTTCAAATTCGAGAAGCTCGTCAAAACATCGTTTTGAAGAGATAACGATTTTCACCTGCTGTCAGTTCAAATTCTTTACACATGCCCTTCTGACATAGTAATTTCACAAACGTATGAAATTCTCATGTGAAATAAGAGTGAAAACCTTATGGAGAGCGAGCTCACGTTACACTATCTCGAGCGCTTGTAGATATGCATCTGGTCTGATTAAGGGACACTCATGAATGATCCTGAAGAGAAATGAAGAGCACTCGAACCTCTCTCGATGGAACTTGAGTAGACTGAGCACATACTGACTTATACTGACTGAGCATTGAAAAAATCAACCAACATAATCAACCAAGCCAATCAATAAAACCTTGTCCTCCCGCTCCATTATTTTTTCTCAAACCTTGTGGATTCAGATTGAAAACAATTAAACGGCTTTTGGCGCGGGAAAAGACGAACGAGCAAGTCATGGTTAGTTTAATTTTGAATCTGATTGGTCGAGAGGACGGAGTGATTATTATGAACCACTCACAGAAATGTACCAATTTTAACTCTCGTACAAACCCTGTCTTTTCTACTTTCTAAATAGCGTTCAGTTCGATTCAGTACCAAAATTACAGAAACTTCTCTTGCTTCCCTAGAATGTCAGATTACATAAAATTACTTTTTTGCCCTTGCCTTTTCAGGTCTGAGTTAGGAAACAGTTTTTTACTTCATGGCTTTGGATGAAGAGCATTCGTTGAATGGAATTCCCTGTAAAAACCACCGAGTACATTTACAAATCAACCTTAATTCACACAACTAAACATTTCGTTTGAAGGTCTGCTTGGTCGCTTTCTCGATTACACATATACTGCCCTTCCGCTCAATAAGCACTGTTTAAATTTACTTGCATAGGAAATTAAACGAAAAGTGTCAAGCTAAAACAAGAGGAAAGGAACTAAGTTTACTTTTTGACCAAACAACAAACACAGATAAGCGATTTCTATTTGGTTCGGGAACACTTTCCATTTTAACTGTCCATTGCGAATTTTACTCAGCCCCTTGTGTCGCTAATTGGGTCAGAGAACGAAGTTTTTAGTTTCGTTTGCGTTTCTTTCATGTAGACAGCTGCTCGCCTTTTTATTCGGGAAAAATTGTATAATAGATTTAAAGTTGAAAGTCAGATAAAAAATTTTAAAAGATTTCAAGGCCACAAAAAGGTTTTCATTATCGATGGGGAGGCCAATCTTTTATAGAAATCAGAACAGTCTCTAAGCAAACAACGTTAACAAACAACCTAAGATGAAATTAGTTGTACACTACGAAAAACCAGTGGCGTTGAAAATGCTTTTTGTTTTACCTGTTTTAATAAGCAGGTTTTTCCTCTTGGTTCGACAAGCGGACTTTTGAAGAAAACTGAATCCACTCGAAATCCGCACAAAGTTTGAGATAATTGGATTAAACATTCGCTCAACTGAATCCATTTCCTTTGCTTTTTGTGGGGTTTGCTTTAATTAGAAGAGTTTTGTGCGTCAATTTAAAAGTTTTAATGAAAAAGTTTAACTGTAGGAAACGGAATAACAGCTGCTTGCTTAGCGCGAGTTGGTTTGAAGGTAAAACTCAATAATGAATTTGACTTTGATGAAAAACAAAATTATAACAAATCATTTAAAAACTGTGTTGGAATCGAACCGTTAAACAAGGGAGACGGAAGGCGTTATGCAGACATGTACATGCTGAATATGTGATGTAAGAATTTGCTGTTGTTGTCACATTCGACAAAAAAAGGCAACTACTCAGTGCGGAAAAATGATTTTGTAACACGTATCTCTTATTCAACTCTTTGTTTGAACAGTACGAATATTGGAAAAAAGTGCAACATTATTACTGTAAAGCCATACCATTGTCTACGAATTAAACAAGCGCTATGTCTAACCAATAGCGAATCTATTTATCGGCGAATTATTTACTTAATATTTTTGGTTTTTTAAACTGGTACTAGATTAGTGAGAGCGTACATTTCTTTCAGATTTATAAAATACCTGTCAATTTTTTCGGTAAAAATATCTCGCTCGTTAGTTGAAAGGTGAAACACGAGAAGTTAGTGGCGCAGATTGTGAAATCGAATCACAGTTCTCGCCCTGACAGGATTGTCAAGCTCGAGTCATCGCGGCCACCGAGGAAATTGCATGCTTTTAAGATGTTAATTCAGCGTATCCGGCAATATCTCTTGTTTGATTTGCAGAAAGCGTGAAATGAGGGTGTTTTTCAAACAGTTATTAATACGCTTGGCAGGTGGAAATTTACAGGGATTGTTAAAAAGCCAGTGCGATGTTAGGTCCTGTTTGTTTAGACTGAGTCGATCCACTCGTCGCCGGCAGGTAGCGCTTCTCGAAAGCAGTCAAAAGATCATTCATTTTCTTGGGTGAGTAGCTTTCTGCGTCTTGTGTTTTTCCTCGCTGGGAAATCTCTGCGGACGCAAGATACAATTTGCTACATAACATTGAAGTGATATATCTTTAAAGAAGACTATCTTGGACAAAAATACGTAATCCCGCAATAAGGTCTTCCTTCATGCAATTTAAATGTAGTTAAAAGGTATGATCTTTTAAGCTGAAAATGTACTCGGATTTTCTTGTTAAGAAAAAAAAAACCCGATTTCCGAATTTAAAAAATGGACAATTTTTTTCCCTAAGTGATGAAGTTTCTGCGAGAGTGATACAGGTGTATACAGAAAAAAGAGAAAAAACACGATTTTTCCCAAATGAGAAAAATAAAAAAAAAAACATAAAAAAAAAACTAATGCGCGCCGTGAAATAAAGCACGGCTTCCTTTGCTATCTTCTGTCATTCAGTTTAACTTTCAAAATCACAAAAGCTTGATAATTGTTTAAGGTTTGCAGTTTTTTCCTCTGGACGTTTTGTTTCGCATTTTAATTCAAGCTAAAATGATCAAGGGAAGAAGAAAAAAGTATAAAAAAAATCATTGACGTTAAACGCAGACGCGTATTTTGCTTCCCCATGAAAAGAAAAAAAAGTGATTTGTTATTCTTACGAAGAAAAAAATATCTTTTTACTGTTCAGAAGAGCAAGAGTGTTAACTTTTCGTTTCAGCACCAGGTATTCTAGAATGTTTTTTTTTTGGTTAATACGCGAGACTTATCCACGATAAATTTTTCAGAGATAACTCTAATGTTCAAAATATTAAGGCTTAAATGACAGATCGTCTGGTGTGTGACAAATTTAATTCTACCTCAGGCAGTTCATAAAACCAAGTCATTATATTTTTTCTTAGTTTCCCTTTACCTGATATTTAAGAAACTTCAGCGAAGCAAAAATCATGATGTGTCGCCCCTAAAACTTTGTTTTGTCATCAGCCCCATTCACAACAACTGCCACAAAACTCATTACCAAAGTATAGTCTTGAATACTTATTGTTAAACAACTCAAATGTAAAAATCTTTGGGTTGAAATCTTGCAAGATTTCGTTAGATTTATTAGTTGCAATCTTATCGCAAAGCATATTATTACCATTTTTTCGTTCTTCAGTCACCCAGGCCTCGAAAACGTTATTTACCACTTGACTGTAAGACTGTTTGTGGCAGCCTATAGCTAACCTTTTTAGCCATGATCACGTCATTGACGAGGGCTGTAAACTTACTGACAGTAGCCACGTCACCACTTGTGCGTCAAAATTGAAAACTTGAGCCGCCTTCAATTTCATAAATTGCTTGATATTCAAATTAAACTTCATTTTTCCCCATTATTTCCTTTTATTTTAATTATTTCCATTATCATTACTTTCTTCACTCCATTTTGATGTTTTGCTGTCCCACGAAAATAAGATTTTGTGTTTTATTCCCGTCGCAATAAACAACTCATTATATTTTACCGATCTAGCGGTGTTCGGTTTTTTTTCAAAGGCTTTGAAAAAATTTCTGGATTCTACTTTTTACAATCATAAATCAAATTCTCCTAATTCTGCTCCATCGTTTTTCATGGCCATTTTTGTTGAAATTGTTTTTATTTGTGCAACTATTTCCATCTCCACTTGGCAGGTGCGTTTCCGTATAACGCGTCACAAAATGTATCTTGTCCACTGGTCTGAGATGGAAAAAGTCCAGCGTTATTCTGGAGTTTTCGCCGCATCACCCATTCCTCCATCTCTGACATTTGGTCCTTATAAGGGGACGTTGAATATTTTCCTGAAAACCAATGATCATAAACACTTGGATTATATCCTTGAGGTGAGATGTAGAAACTGCTTTTAGAAGTAGAGGGACTCACAGTAAGAACTAGCCCCCCCCCCCCCCACCCTCCCCGGCTAAACACAAGCAAAACGGGAATATGCCTCCCAATTGTGTGAGGTTTCCAAGGTCTTGGAACTTTTAAAAATAGGTTTTATAGCTTTCGTTAAATTTAACCTACGTTGTACTCCTAGAATCCTGTAAAACGTGCTAAAAAGCGGCTTTGTGGGGCTCATGTGTCACAATTGACTCACTTTTTTGATGTTAATCGGGGGGGAGGGGCGGTAAACAGTTATCGTCAGGGTTTGCACTTCTTGGACTTATCGATCGCCTCTTAAACCAGACCTTACTCTCATGGGAGTTAGGTATCCTATAACTTTTACATTGGGGCTTCATAGTAAGGGAGGAAAAGAACTTTGATCCAGTCTGAGAAGGCATTCAGCGCTTAAAGAGCCTATGATTGGAATAGCACAAGGACAAAACCATATTTGATTTCTTAATACAAAATCTATAAAGAGACGTCACACTTTGCCTCAACTGTGATAACAAAAAAGAAAAAAACATTAAATTCAATGATTTCTTTGGTCATATATGATCATTCAAAGACTTCATTAAGATCATAGATCTATGGGTTAAATTTTTAATTGGTTTACTGAGGCTTTTTTCACTAAATTCATATCAATTAATTATATCTTTTCAAACAGCCTTCAATTCCTGTCTGTCGCTTTTCGTTCTTTCTGAACTTTTGGACTTTCCTTACGCAATAGTAGGAGGGGGGGGGGGAGGGTTGGGGGAGGCATTGGTGCATTTGGTTCACTCCTTGTCTCGAAAATGTGATTAGTTATTACAAAACAAATTGGTCTTCTAATAATGCCAGTAACATGCTGGTGTAGGTCTCTTTCTCCCCCCCCCTCCCCTCCCCGCCCTTTTGTAAATCCTGCCTAACCCCCGTATCCGTTTCAGGTGACCTACAAATGTGGTCAGCTCATCTGGGTTTTCGATCGGCATCTTTCTTGGGTCCCTTTCATGAACTTCGCACGCTGCCCTGAGGAGCAAAATGTGGAGGTGTTCTTGAGCGAAGGGTCTTTTTTCTTCCGTACCATCGATAGAGTGTCCCCGGGCGAGGAACTGTTGCTATGGCCAACTGAGAGACTTTGCAGAAGTCTGCGTATGCCCAATTTTGTGCATCATGGAGATAGAGAACGTAAGAATTCTTTATTGATTTTGTAATATAAATTTTAAATTTCCTTTTCAGTTCTCAAATTTTCTGAACTAATCATAAAGCAAAGGAGATAAGACCAAAGCAATCCCGGCCGGCACTCGATTTAAAATAACTCTATTCCATTAAACTTTTCTAACCAATTAGAGCACTGCGCCCCATTTCGTAATCTTCATATTCGATGCTTAGTGGAATAATTTGCTAAATATAAAACTAAACTCAAAATAATCATAACCATTAAAATGTCACAAGGGGCATTAAGAACTAGAAATCATTACATATTAATCGCATCAAGCGAGGGAAAGGTGAGCGCAATGCGATTAATTTCAGTTTGCGTCTGATTGGACCAATCACCAGAGGAAAGACAAGAAAAGCCAATGCAATCCAGTATTAATCTTTACGCTTAATTGAATTTTTATATTCCTATCATTATTTTTTACAGAAATTTAGTTTCAAATTATACTTAGTCTTTCATTCGGTCCTCATAGGAATTTTGCTCTGATAAAATTCTTACTTCGGAAAAGACCGCTTTAAAATTTACCGCGTTGGTGAATTTTACTTGGCAGATAGGTTTCTGCTTTTCAATAAAAGTTAAGGAGCCTCCTGTTCAGCTACAGTTAAAACTTTGGACCAACACCCAGAATGATGTGCGATTAGAGGGTAAATTTGGAAAGTGAATTCAGTTCCGCCCCGCCTTTCTCTGAAGTTGTGACGCAGAAGCGAGCTGGTGGCAAACAAAATGAAATGATAAAATATTAAGAGTGAGTCTCGAACGACTCGAGGAAACGGTCTGGGGAACAGTCTGTTCCACGATGGGGTCTGGGAAACGCCAAACATTCATCTTCTAAAAAAACTGCCATGCGTACTTCTGCAGTGTTACAACTGAGAAATATGTATAAGCAAAGGAAGAAACTATTAAAACAGAAACTCAAAGCGCTGGAAAGAGTTTAGTCAAATAAGATTTTACTGGACGGAAAGGTGAAAGATCCAGGGTGATTTGTTTCGCCTCATGAGCGCAATTTGCCTATTTTGCTTAGTAGATCCAAACTCTAATAATCACTCTAAAGAAAAACGGTGTCATTGGCTTCTTTCGCACACAATTCTACGTTTCAAATTAATTGTCGACCTCGAAAACAGCTTTAAAAATAAATATCTATTTTACTTTTCTTTTCTAATGATTCTTTTACATAGACCGCCAAACAACGAATTCTATTGTGTAAGTTTCAGAACGCGATCGGTTACTAAGCAGACATGGCCGTTCTTGAGGTATTTATATTGTGTTTTTACCTCACCTCAGATAATAACCCATAGCATGTGTTTTTATTGTTCTCATCATTTGATGTAATTGAGTATTGAGAGGTTTCTTCGATCGTTTCGCTCTTTCTCATCGAGAAAGCAAGACTCGTGTCTGACGAAACTATATAACCACGCAATTTAGTTGTGTTAATTCATTCAGCTTGTTGTAAAACTTTACGGCTTTTGAAGTTTCCCTTTCAAATATTTTTAAAGTATTTGCAGATGAGAAAAAAATGCTTATCTTGCCAGATATTCTTTTCCTGGTGCTAGGAATGAAACGGGAATACGACTAGTTGGATCTTAAATATCTTATCTAACCTTGGTAAAACCATTTTTTTTTATTTTTTTCTGCAGTAAATCTTTGAATCAGGAAAAAAGTTCCTTGCAAGGCAAGATGTCTTGTTCAAAACGCTTTGTTGTATTGTCGACTACTTGTGTAATCTCTTTTGTTTCATTGTTCGTCTGAAAGACTTAACTGTCTTTACACTGCTAGATCATTTGCGTAATAGAGCCATTGTCTCTTCGTTTCTTTTTGTTCCGTTTCTCATTTCCTATGTGCGGCGAATGGGCAGAATGGCAAAAGTTATGAAAACAAGATAGGTTAAAAAAATAAATGCCAGAATTGTGCAGTACTCTTCACTTGGTGTCCAAAAGTTTAACCTAACGGCTTTTTATCGATGGCGTAAATTTTGGATTATGTCAGTCACATCTTGATCTCGATTAACTCTCTTATCGAAACTTAACTTACATTGTGCGAGGCGGAGGGGGAGTTTAATAGCGTGAGTTATCGTGGTTAAGCCTTCCTTCAACATGTGGTTTCATTGTTCGATCGGAAACTGTTGAGTAATCAAGACTCTTTCATCTAAAAAAAAAAAGAAGAAATGGCCGACGCTATTTATAACAACATTTACTATCGAAATTGAAAAAAGTTTTCAAAACAAACCTTTTATCATAGTTAAAATTAACTTTCTTTGAATATAATAAAAAGGTGTTTTGAAGACCATATGAAATCTATAGCGATTACCTATATGCGATAGAAACATTCAGTAAGAGTTTGTTTTCCTCGAAGCTAATTTCAATGAACGATTTCATGGGTAAATTGATCAAATCAAAGAATTAGCAGCGACAGAAATTCAGCAATAAAATCTTTGTCTTTATCGGTTTATAACTAAGAAATCATCTTGGAGGCGTGAACGGGGGCTGTTTACGTCCTATCTCACGAAGTCACCTTAATTTATCGCGCCCAAATCTTAAGTGTACGTAACGTATTTCAAAAGAATATGCGTCATTGCAAGGTGATTCTAATAAGTAAATCTACGCCCCCTGAGTCTGTTAAAAATAAAGGTTAAAAGTGGGTTGGGTCGCCTGTTACTGGGCAAAAACAGCCGGTGTGGACTAGCAAAGTCAACCCACAAACATGTGGTGCATTGTACTGAATCATTCGCCTGGAAAATTACTTTGACATAGTAACATTCCCTCTCGTTTTATCTCTACGAAAACAAAAATAAAGTATTTATTCCTTTCTCGTCCATATCCGTTCTTTTAGAATATTTGGGTAATAGCCTTTGTATACGATAGGTTTTACAGCAACTGAAATGCTTATGAAGACAGAAATGGGCATTCTATGGAGCTTTTCAAAAGCAAGTACATTCATTGTAAAAATATCTAAATTTTTGCAAAGGATCAATCATTTTATTGTCCAACCCGACGCAAAAAGATGATTACTTCAGTGTGAAAGCTCCACGACTTTTTACGAAAGAATTGATGTAAATAGCCTTTGAAAACGTACAGGTAAAATGTACGGTGAATAAAATTCATGATGAGAGGTCCAAGTAAAGATACACATCGTGTTTATAGAAGCATTAAAATGTCGTTTCCCCAAATGAAGTTTCACGGGCAGGTGGATTATTCATATTAAACACTCAGGACCGTTAAAGATACAATGCTTTTATTCAAACAACTTTATACTCTACATTTATTAAGCGTCCAAATTGAATTAGAAAATCACCCTGATTCTTTCAAACGCAGAAATATCTCCAATATCTATCCCTAGGCTGGTAAAAGTCCAATAAAAACGTGACCATAATAACGCAAAAACAGAGGTTTTTTAGGCATGGCCCTCGTTGCAATGGAGTAAGGATGCTGTTGGCTGCATGATAATGTTAATTTCTTCATCAAAAAAACTAATTTCAAGTTTCTTGTAAAGAAAACGAACTTTCTTGATAAATTGCACAGTTTTTTTTAACTGATTCGTTCTTTTTCCTGTGTGGTTGTCGAGGAATTGCTCCGAATCTCAATCATGAAACGGTTAAGTACTTTATAGCATTGAAGTTTACCTTGCTAAATTAATCTTGTAAAAGGAATTGAAAGAGTACCTGTCATTAGAAAAAAAAAAAAAAAAAAAAAAAAGAAAATGAGACAATCCTCTCAAGAGATAAGACACTCCGGTTAGAGAGACAGAAATATTCCTTCCTTAAAAGTTTTTGAGCGCGCACAACTAGCGTGTATTTTTCCTGAGTATATTTCCTCTCTCTCAGAGACTAGAGGACCGCTTCAAAGGACGTCATTATTGAGTACTTTTCTTGCAATAAATTTAGTTCATTCGTGTTAATTGAAAGGAGTACTGACATAAAAAGTGATTTAGTAGATTCGCAGCTTTAAATGGCTCTTGAACAATAATTGTTGAATCTGAAAGCCTTCGCTTCTTTTCCCCGTCAGGTCCGTCAAAAAAATCGACAATTAGGAATTCGGGCCTTTTTTCCACACTGTTAGCGGATTCTAATGGAGATTCTTGGATTCGAGATATATCTTTCTAAGCGGGGGCTCGCGAAAATTTATTTGCTCATTTTAACTGCAGTTTTTACGTATGTAAGATGATAAGTATCTTCCGCTACCAAGCGAAGCAAGCTGTTCGTCTGGTATCCCCATTGTTCGAGTAACATGTGATTTCTTTGTCTCAGCAGACAAACAAAACAGTGGGCGCATTGCAAATAGCCAAGCAGGCCTTGAAACGTATTCACGTCGATTGTTCTGCAAACACTTTTTTTAATTCGATAATAGAAATTGCCACGAAAAGTCTGTAAACAATGGCCGGCCTTTATTCATTACTGATTGATTTTAGACGGAAGCTTCCATCGCCTACGAAACTTTGCTCGGAAGAGAAAAAATACGCGTAGAAAGTTATGCAAAGGGATTTTTCTAAGATGAAAGAGCTCGGAGACGAAGCGACCTCAGCGGGACGAAAATACCGCACGACTTAAACAAAAGCAAACAAATCATGAGTTCCTATGCCGCTGTTTCAACTTCAAGGCAATATAATGATATGTGCAATTTAAAGTTAGAGGGGGTGTATTGACGTAATTTAACCTCGATTTTTTCCAAGTGTCAAAACGTTTTGATTAATGCTTCGGAAGACTAGGAAACGTGTAAGATGAGCAAAAAGTTTGGGAAAGGCGTCGATAAAAGCAGTTTTTCTCTTTTTCTTTTGTGTCCATTAGATGTCCCTATAAATTTGTCATTTAACCGTGACAGATAGAGTTGTTTGGCTGTCAAATTAAACGGGTTTCTTTTGTGTGTGTTTTTATAACTATTTTAAGATATTCCCGATCTCTTTTAGACGAGGAACCTTCCAAAGACCTCAAAAATGAAAAGTTGATCGATCATCAAATTCTAGTAAAGCAGACCATACTGGTCGGTGTGATGCAATAAAGAAGAAATAATACTTTTATCTCATTAGGTATTCACCCGGAGTTTGATTGTCACTTTTTAAGAAGTCTTTCGTTCATAAACAGCTTTTTTAAATTTTGAATACAAATTTTATTGCAAACAGGGTCATTATTTCATAATTTTTTTTATCAAAAGTGTTATATCGAACTCGCAATTTATTTTTAGATTAGGAGCTCTGTAATTTTTAACAATAGCCTATCTTTTTTAGCAATTATCTTTTCAGTAACCGTTGTGGCCTGATAAATGAACGCACATTGAAAAGTTTTTATTTCATTTAATTACGAAATACGACACTGAAGAACACCTTTTTGGCTGATAAGTTTTTATCTGACTGATATTATTACTGGTATATATTTGGCATATTTCCCACTTGCTCGGACGTCATTATACTATACAAGAACAATTTTTTTAGAATTTCACGACTCTTAGTAATACTACGGTTTGATAAAACAAAAACATTCTAGAAAAAACTCATTACCACGCTGGTTTGCACAAATTTAATTATACATAACAAGCATTTGCTTTTGCAAGCAAATTCGATTTTTTTAGTTCGATCAGGCGTTCGGCAAAACAAAAGAGTTATTTAACTGTCTAAACGCCCGCAGGAATTTACGGCAAAACGGAAATTTTTGGTGTTAATTTGGGTAGCTGGTAATTTGCTTAACACGGTAGCCACGCGCCCTGGTCTGCAGAGCTGAATATTCCATCTTGAGACAGGAGAGTCTTTGCATTCAATTTGCAATTAAACCACGGATAATTTTTCTGCAAATGAATTCTTGATTTGTTGAGACGTGATTTTTTAAGATGACGGCCGAATCCTGAATTTTCCGTAGCGCTTTCTCTTGTCCAGACACCAGAAAGATCGTGAACCCTATGTTTGTATTTCTCAGTAACACCTCCTATGAAATGAAACAAGTTTGAAGATAAATATCGAGTCGATTGGACAGGTTTTCTGCGACCAGAAGCAGACATATTGAAATTGCAGTAATTCAAACATTTTCACGTATTGGGACATCAGCTTCAAAACACTGAAACTTTTGCCTTTATCTAGAGTAATGTTGTTTTTGTGTAGCGCGTATCACTGCGGTAAACCGCGATGCTACTAATTCTAAAGAAACAGTGAGGCTAATTATGAAGACTCATTATTTAATGTTAAAATGTCATGATTAAATGACTAACGGAATTTAGTTAAGATACCATTAAACCAGCAAAATTCTTTCTTGCGATAGGAATGTTCACAAAGTGCGATAGAAACATGTAAGTCAGCATAGTTTGCCAAACTGTCGCAAAATATGCAGTCGCAAACTGTGGCGATTTCAAACTTTGAATCACTAGCAAACTTGTCAGCCCTTGGAGATTTAGAACTCGAATTTTCGAGTAATAATTGCTCACTTGATTGTGCGGGCGATATTTACCAAGGTGCAGGTTACTTTTGTTTTCTTTTCTTCAGGTATACATTCTCTCACATTGAGCCACAGCGAACAAAACATTTTGCGCTTCCTAGGTACCTACATTGTAGCGCTTGAACGAACAATACAACACGTGCACAGAGCTCTGATTTCTGTTTTGCGACCAGCGTAAGTCATTTAAAGTCCTTTCTAGGAGCAATCCGGTACCCGAGTACCTCAAATGATCCACTAAAATGGCTCACCCGTTTTGATTTTCTTGATAACTTTAAAGTTCGCTGGTAAGTTAATAACCGGTTGAAGTCTATCCGTGTGTACCGAAGGAAAAGATCTTGCACGTTTCGAAGCCTCGATCTTGCTTACACATCTGTTAGCTTAAGATACATTCCAAGGACAAAAGATTTCCCTTTTCGGCCGCGTGTCAAAATTATATATGTATAAAGCGTGATACTTCTATTGTGCGATGTGAACAGCCAGCCCTTTGTGGCAATTCTGAGATATTTAGGCAGCAAAGGGCGAACTAAACAAATCCCGTCATCGAACCACTGGCGGGTCACGTGTGCTGAGTACGGCCACCATTCAACACCTGTAGAATGAAACGTTCTTGAATCAAAAAGCGTGGAAAGACGTTCGTTATTTACCGGTTTCCGCTGGTTCTGCTTTCCAGCTATCTCTCTTGCAGAGTTGCTCAGCTGTTTGCAAAAGGCTCACCTCACGTTTTCTGACCGCTTCCTGATTTCCCCCGGGCAACGGCACCCATTAACGACGAATTGATATGAAAGCACCGTAGACGGTGGCATCTGATTGGCTGGAGTCATTGACAAAAGATCTAACAAAAGGCTCTGAACGACCCTCGTGGCAAAGTTTATTGTCTCGGAAATCAGTGAAATTCACTTGGGGCAGTATGTTAATCGCGTTTATACTATGCGTTTGACACATTTCGCCGTGCTCTGCTTCATCTCGCGCGCACTGATAGTGATAGAGTATTTACGACCTAAACAAAATCACTAATTTCTATAAAATCTAACTTCCTCCAGCTAATAATTGTGAAGCTAATTACAGCATGGTTTGTTAATAATAAATGTGTCTTTGAATATTAATAACCTTCCTCGCTCTAGCTCCAATATTATTTTAACTTCTCAGCCAGTGATGAGGGCGGGGAAAACTGGAGCGCCTCGCACGTGTCAAGAACTCGCTGCTTAGCTGTCCCGCGAAGCAATGCTCTGATTGGTTAGTACACTAGCACGTGTCATTAACTCTTGCTACACCTGTCGCTCCTTTCACAGGTGAATACCAATATATTTGTCACCACTGCTCGCAAGTGTTTGCATTCCCAAACACACTTAAAACGCACATCGCATTTGAGTGCGCCTCAAACCGTGGGAAGAGCTATAAAGAGCCCCTGTTTCACAGTCAGCGAACACACTCATACACCAGTTGCCTTCCAAGTAGAAACAACCCGCCGAACAGGCCGCCGAGAATGAGCACTTTGTTTTTGACTCCAAATTCGGATACGGACGGGATACAGGTATCGAAAACGGACAATGATCCACCGCTCAACCTCAAACACGATGGAGAACCAAGCAGGAGCGTGCACCACCATAATGGCAGTGCATTCCTATCCGACGTCTCAGTTCACGACGATAAACCCATTATTAACGGAGGACATTCTTCATCTGGATTAAATTTATCCAACAGCATGGGTTGTTTGAACGGTTTAAATGGTTTTAATGGCTTCAACAACCTATCATTGGCAATGAATCAGTTTCCATTCCTCTCCAACTTCAACACGGATTCCTTTCTAATGAAGGAGAGCCCGAAATCGCTGCAAAACTCCGTTGGAGACAGCTCGTCGTCTACCAAGGCTTCGCCACCCTTTTCGCTGCACTCAAGCTCAGCCGATTTGCAGGTCGTTAAGTCTCCGGACAAGCTCCAACCAGTTCTTACGCCGCTAACACCAGTGAGCCTACCATCCTTTACGGCGGAAACGTTCGGAATTAAACCTGATGGCTTGAAAAATTCCTCTCTTGTTCCTCCTGTTAATCAGTCGCAGCCGTTCAGTTCGGCTAGCTTCAACGGTTTTAAGAGCCCCGAGCTTGGAAATGTGCCAGTTTCCTCAGAATTTCCTTCAATCTCACGACCACTATTGAGCGAACTTAACGGACTTAATGGAATGAGGTACAACTTATCACAGGAATCCTCGTTTTCGCAAAACCAGATGGATATGTTAAATAATCCAGCGTTTCTCCTCCAGCCCCGGCCTCCTCTCTGCAGTCCTTCGTCGATGCCATTTTTCAAATATGGATTTCCACAGGGTTTTCCATCACTAAATGGCCAACCGGTTATGAATCCAACGGGTCCTATGATGTTTGGAACGGAACAAGGCGTTAGCAGACTGCCTTCATCCTCCACAACGCCGAACCCCGATGGAACGGGTTTAAACGGGGATCAAATGACACCGGACAAGCCGAAAACAGGTTGCAATGAGGAAATGATAAACGATTTGAACTCTAAAAAAGTGAATAAGGGATATTTATGTGAGCTGTGTGGCAAGTTGTACACCCGCAAATACGGGCTTAAAATCCACATGCGTATTCACACGGGCTACAAGCCTTTAAAGTGCAAATACTGTCAAAAGAGATTTGGCGATCCGAGCAATATGGCTAAACACATCCGCCTTCATGCTGTTGGGGACACTCCTTATAAATGTCAGTATTGCGGAAAAGTTTTGGTCAGGAGAAGAGATTTAGATCGTCACATAAAATCAAGACACCCAAACGGACGTTAGAATGGTAAATTTGTTACTTTTTAAATCAAATTTCATAGGTCTAGCTGTAAGTTTATCGAGAGATAAAGGTACTTCTGTGAAGATATTTCGTACAACATTGAGCACTCGATAACAATTTTGGTCGGTTTAGGCCTTTCATTTTGAACATTCGTACGCAATAGAGACGTCGTATTCGCATTCTAAAGTTCATATGTTTGTACAAAATTCTCCAACGTAAACATTGTAAAGACGAGAAAAACATTTATAATATAAAAAAAGGAAGTAAGATATAAGTTTGTACGATAAAGCGAAAAGCAAAATAAAAAAAAAACGTGCTATTTAAGTGGTTTGCTGTCTCTACCGCGCGCAGGCCATAATTTATTAATATGATATTCCTTCTCGTTGTTTTCTTTCAAAACTTATTCACCGACCTGTGAAGTTAATTAAATGAATAAAATTTCTCTAGCCATCTTTAGAAATTGCCTGGAAACCTTTTCAGCTTTGTTTTTCGCGTTGTCTTTGAAAAAGAATGGACAAAAAGAAAAGATTCGTTCGACATAAAACAGAGGTTTTTTGCCGACATAATTTTCTTCATTACGAAATCAGGCTCGTTCAAATGACGCATACAAAATCTTATGTACCGTCTACTATAAACTGTTGTGAATCGGGAAAGCAACGTTCGTAAATTTACTTAGGTATCAAAAATGAACTGGTGGTCTAATTCTGTTTATTGTCGAGCAAAGATTTGAAAGGTTTACAAAGCAAGACCTAGATCATTCACAGTCAAAAACAGTACGCGTAAACTTGCCTTTACAACAAACAGGACCCCGTAGTGTTCACGGCCTTGGAAAATAATTTCCTCTTTTTATAAATCTTTAGATTATCACGGGATGTTTCTATTTATATTTAACTTCAATTTAAATGCCTTTTAAAGCCTTTCACACCCAGCAGCAAGACATAGCGAGTACTTTGTTTAGCGGAATTTAATCATACAACAACACGTTTCGCTCAACAAAGAAAGCGATATCTCAACAATGGTGCGCTCTCCGAACAGGTTATTTTGTCTTGAACAAAACTCGTTTGGAAAACAAGAGTTGTTCAACCGATAAGTTTCATTTCTGTTCAATGATTTAATGAAACGCGGAGTGTTTACTTTGTCGTAGTGGTGGTAGAAAACCCATTCGCATGAATGGTCGTTTGGTTAATGTCTATAAATAGAACTAAATGAATGGATCTACGCACAGCACACAAGAAAATATTCTACCTCGTACCGTTTTTTACATTTTCTATACGATTCACCACTTTTATAATCGAAGGTCCAAAGATCTTAAAATGAGCACATTAACTCATAGTTATCAAAATGCACTTGTTTCTCAAGTAGATCGTCCCAAGAACTGGCATCTAAAATCTACTTCACATGCATTTGTCATCTTCAAAGATTTTGAAGCTTTTAATTCTTAAATTAATTTCAATTTTGAAAGAATGATTGAATAATTTGTATAAGCTAAGGTCTTTAAAGGACTTTAATTAAAATGTTCTCGTGGACATGTGAGTTGACTGAGTGGGTGAGGATTTTTTTATGTAAATCTTCGCAAACAATTTTCCAGCTGAGATTCACACCTCGAGGAATTACTTGCAAAAAGTGCGTACCTTCCAATATATGTGCTTGTTAAATCAGAAACAGAATTAAATCAATAGAATAACCCGTTTCTAGCTAGCTTCAATTAACTGGTATTTACTATTACCTTTGTTCAAAATCAGACATAAAAACGACTGAATTTTGTCGCCGAGAACATGTGGTCTTGCAAACATGTGGACTCATGTCTTTGAAGGAAAACTGTTTCAGTGTCACTAAGGTCAAATACTGTCAGAAGGTAGTTCTCTCGTAAAATGGTCGTTTTTAGATGTTCGTAGTGCCGGAAAAGTTAAATATTTTTGTGTGATAGATTATTTTTACTGGAAGGTCATTGGGATTTTGCTTTGAAATCGTGGCCTGTTGTTTTTATTTGATTTCAAAGTTCACTTTTATGGAGTCCACAACTGTCAGCAAAGACTACTCAGAGAAGACTTACCAGCCATTAAAAAAGTAATACTTTTAAGATTTTTATTTTCCAAATCTTTCAGACTGGATGAATTAATCTAGAAACTGGACTGGGAGTGGATAAATGTTAATGTTTGGTTGAAAAATTTCTGATGAAGCTGTGAAAAGCCACAAAGAAATGGCCGTGCTTTACTTTTCCCCAGACACGCGGTCTCTGCGAAGAAGTGGCGAAGGGCGTATGCAAAAAATCGCAATGGTAACCAATTGTGTCAAGTAAAGAGATCCAGGCCAATATAAGTGAATGAACTCTCATGAAAGACTTAAATCGAGTGCTTTATTCCTAATCTGTACCTGGAACACTTACTTCCATTTTCTTAAAATATCCTGTGTGGCAGTGACTTTCCTCAATTGAAGTAGCGAAAACCCGTCCTGTCTCTTATCTACGGATCAAGTTTTTCAGCCACAAATTGTTTTAAAAATATCTTTAGCCAGATTAAACTAGAGTCCTGTGCTAGGAAAAGCTGCGATGTGTGCATTGAAGGCAAAATCTACCTGCATGAGAGTTTTAAGTGTGTGATATGATGTCAGAAGATGTCTATAAGGATACACATGACAACCTGAAGGAAAGCGAGTTTAAACTGAACAACAAGACCTGAAATGTTGCAAATTTAGCTTTAAAAAAACATCCAACATCTGGTCTCCAAATAAATAACGTTGCCGTAGACCCAGAGAGCGCGGGTCAAACCGTCGAACCATGAGAATCAATGGCTGCTGGTAAAAGGTCACACCAACCTGTGTAACACAGGTCAACTTAAGGATTTCGTCTCATGCTTGTATCTCAAATACGATGAGTAGCGGTACTCCTCTTTGCTTTATGCCACAGAAACTGGAACATGATCTGGCAGTGATCTGGCAGTTCTTGTGATAAAATTCTTAAAGTAGCCAGAAATGCTTCACTTCACTCTTGGGTTTGACGAACAAAAGGGAACTTTACGTTATATCCTTAATTCTTTCGTAATGAAACAGCAACTGTTTATCTCCACACCTTACTCATCATGGCACCATCACTTTAGCAGTCGAATGGTTGACTTGGAGATTAAATTATAAATCCTGGCTTCAAAAGCAATTCTTCGAGACAGAAAATGGAACATTGGTTCGCCCTTAGATTGGAATTTCTTTCGTTGTCTCAAGGCAGGAATTTATATAAAGCGTCTTAAATCGAATGGTTGCACAAGACGCATACAAAAAGCTTGTAACTGACAGTGTTACGGATAAAGCAAGGCTACAAAGCGGTAACCTCAAGTTGGTATTAGTTTTTGATGTTCAGTTCCAGGCCTGAAAAAATTAGGTGCGATTGATAAGTTTAAGTTTAAGGTAGCTAATCGTTTACTGTAAATATCTGAATTGCATGGTGTATTATTTGGAAAGCAAGGCTTAAATTTTTCCAAGTATTTTCTCAACATACTAACAACCGCAGATCGTTATATGGCTGAAAAGAAATACCGTTTAACGTTCATTGAACAAATTTCGTATGGTACAGCAAGCTGTATTATTTACCTGGTTATCTTTCACATGCAAGTAACCGCAGGTTATATAACTGTTAATAAATACAGTTTAACGTTTATTTAACTGATTTTCTAGTACTCGTTAGGAAACAAGTTTAAAAAAGTATCTTTTACCGAGCACTTAAGACGCCAGGTGTTGGTAGCCCCGGCAAGTAGCTGGTGATGATTGTTCCTGGTTGGCTGTCGCTTGGTGAAGTGGTTGTAGCTCCTGGCCGAAGTAATACCATTCAACTGGTCTGGTTGCCTGCCAATGGCCTCGATGACCCGAGTTAAATTTCCTTCATTTCTACATCCCAAATGAAAATCAAAGTTTCGAAATGATTTAGATTTAATTTCAAAGGAGCTATGAGCGTTATTTGAACTCATTTGATGATACTGAAGTCAGCTACTGTCACCCGGAAAAGTTTCACTCCAAAAAGAAAAAGAGTCAGTTGCCAACCGAAGTTTTGAAATGGATTTGCAATGAGGAAATTCGAAGGAATGCTTCGAGGATCACAGCAGCAGACAGCAAAGCTTTGGTTAGGATTTTCCTTTCAGCCTAGTTCCCATACCATTTATTCTAAAGAAGGATAGGAAACCAAACCGGCGTTAATCAATGCAGATTTCACAATATTAAATTCCAGTACCTTCAACACCACGTTATGAATTTACTTGGTTTTTGTCCTCGTCTCTCCTTTGTTTTTTTTACCTTTCACTAAATTTGGTTCTTATCTCTACCTATTAGCCGCTTTACATTTTAAGGTAACTTAGTTGAGGGATTTTGGTACCAGTCAAGACAATAGTCTGGCTGATTAGTTTATTTGTTCCCATCACCTGTTAGCTAGCTAATGCATTGTCACTGAAAAAGGGCAGTTACTTGTTAAAAACTCCTACAAGCTTAAGGGTTCAGCTTGTTTCCAATATCAACTTGTGGACTGCTAAGCTTGAAACTTTTGTTTTTCTTTAAGTAACTTCTTCCTTTTCTCAACATAATGACATAACATAACATACTTTATTTAAACATGGGGTGTGAGCTTTTTACAGTCCTCGCGTTTTACATAAACATCTAACAATAAAAATCCCAACTAGAAATTTAAAAATGCTTAGCATTTTCAATAAAATACTGATATAATCGGAACTATTTTAAATGTAAGATTAAATCAAAATTTATGAAAGGAAAGATTCTATGTTGAATATATTTACTCATCGGCATAGTAAGTTTCAAACTAGAGTTGGAAGTTAAAGTCTCTATTTTTATCAGAAATGTTTGATAATTAACAATTATTCACCGAAGTGGAGGTGATTAGTGGTGGATATTTATCGAGCCGCGAAAGCACCGAGGTAAATGTCTGCCTCTTTCCCCGACACTGAGATAAATAATTGTTTCAGAATATACCACTCGGAAACCGAAAAAAAAAGTTTATTTCTGTCAATTTACCAAAAAATGGTCGGAAATTAAATTGTTGACCATTTTTTTTGTCTAGGATCGTGTTTAGATGATTTGATTCTGCAGTTGATGGTGCTTGAAAGCCAAAAATTGCACAGAAAGTCGACAATGATATAGCCACTTGGTTTTAATGGAAAAAAACTTGCCATACTTATGAGGCCATGTAAGGCATCATCATGCCCATCGTCAGTTTTTTCATTGCAGCCACAATCATCTCTCTTGAACGAACATGTTGATCCCTTTGCAGTAAAAGGTTGGTATTCGTCTGAACTCTCTGAAATAAAACCAGCA